GTCTGTCTAGATAGAAACGCAGGAGTGAAAATTCGGAAACTTCTACTTGACCGATACGATTCACATTTGGCACGTGGGTCAAGACATGAAGACAATGCAATCTGAAACTAAATTTGACTTAATTGGATGCCTAATTAATTTTTTATGAATTAATAAAAATTTGGACCGAATTAGTAGGCATGTCTAGCCAACCACACCACACGCGTCATCACCTTCAATAGCTGCGCCATCACGTAATGGCTGCGTTCAAAAACCATTGCGCGCCTACTGAACGTGATGTTCAGTAGGCGCGCAATGGTTTTTAGTCATGTAGGCCTAACTCTATTGTAAATAAAACATGTAAAGTACTGAAAAAAAAATTCATAAAAAACGTTTTAATAACAAGCTTTTATATAATGATGCACTAAAAAGTAGAAAATAAATTATAGACTACTATTTAAATAACTATAAAGAAAAGTGTGGGTGTCTTCCTTAACATTAGTAAAGGTATCCAATAGATACTAACGTGACCCACGCTTTTCTTTATAGTAATTTAAATAGTAGTCTATAATTTATTTTCTACTTTTTAGTGCATCATTACATAAAAGCTTGTTATTAAAACGTTTTTTATGAATTTTTTGTTAATAAACCTACACTATTTTATGCACACATACAAAAAAGAATATTTTAGCGGCAGTTACAACGTCAAAAAAAAGGAAACTCCTTTATACTGAATAGTTCTACGTAACAACAAAAATGTAAAAATACATAGTCCTAGAGCACACTAACACACATATATATACATATATATATATATATATATATATATATATATATATATATATATATATATATATATATATATATATATATATATATATATATATATATATATATATATATACGAAGATATATGTGTGTGTAAGTAGGATGTGTGGTGGGTAGACAGGCGGGGTGGAAGGAAAGCAGTTTGGCAGGAATAACGGTAGGTAGGAAAGTAGGTAGGCAGGCAGCAGCGCAGGCAGGTTAGTAGATAGGTAGGTACATAGGCAGGGAGTTAGGTATGTAGGTAGGTGGGCCTAGGTAGGAAGGCGCCTCACTCGGTATAGTGAGCGATTATAGTAGCCCATCATATTCATGGCGTTTCGCAATTATTAAAACGAACAAAGGTACCATAGTACTCACGGGAAAACACGGGGAGCTAAATGGAACCCTGCCAGGGCGCCACCAAATCGAATTTTTTTTCGCAGAAACCACCACAGGGGTATTAGCATTAACTTCTCAGATTTGAATGATAAACGAATGAAATCTTTGGTAATGCTTATACAAACAAACCCACATATTCGTTTTTGGGGCGCGGGTTTGTCCACACTGCCGCCTAGACGCACCAAGGCTCATTGTATGAAAGCCTTGAGTGTACGTTAATCAACCTCTGTAATAGTGAGGTAGAACACACATTGCGACCGCCCATGTGTTAGAGACGCGTTCCTTGGCGCTCCAGGGAGCCACTGGTTATACTCCCGCAGGGGCGCCCCTAATTCGGTTTAATTATAAAATGTCGTGTGCCACCGTGTCCCTATTGTAGGGTGCTCTTTAAAGAGGCACTCTCTGTAGAGCCCCGGGGCGCTTGCTGTCGCCAACTGCCAGGGCGCCGGCGGGCGCTCATTATTCTACTTAGTGAACATTTATAGTAGCCCATCTAAACCGTAGTGTCGCCCGAGGTGGGTCTTGGCCGCTCTGGGCCACTCAACCGCCAGGGAGCTGGCGGATGAACCTGGTGTAGTTTTATCACTGAATCTCAGAGGCGTAGCACCATTCCTGGCGCCTGGGGACAAATTTTCAATTTGGCGCCCTCCCCCCCCCCCCCCCTCCCGCCGGAGACAAACTTTCAATTTGGCGTCCCCCCCCCCCCCCGGATTTTAAAAATATTTATAATGCAAAACTGTAGCTAAAATGAGCTTTTAAATTTTTCCCACCCATTTTGGCGCCCCTAGGGTTGGCGCCCGGGGACATATGTACCCCCCCGCCCCCCTCGCTACGCCTCTGCTGAATCTAGTATTACCTATGACCGCAATTGATGAGATAGCCCCTCTGGATTCCCCTCTGGATTCTGAGCTCATAATCGTATAATGAGAAAAATCGAATCCTCCCAGGGTGCCACACTTAAGAATTTTTTTTTTTCTCGAAACCCTTTTCACCAACTCCCCAAAATTTTATGACTCTCGTACGAACAGTGTCAAATTGCATCTGGCTTTTATTTTTATGGAGAAAAATTGCATTGCTTCCTGTCAGAGACCCCAGATCGAATGGGGCGCCAAAAGGGGTAGACATTTTTTTTTAAATCCTCATTCTTCAGTAAAATTTAAGAAAACAGATTTATCCATGACTGATATCCTCAATTATTTTATATAGGGGAGTGAATGTAGGGATGGGCGCCTTTTTGCCAGCGTTTGAATAGGGTTGGCACAACATTGATAGTTCGCCCCGGGCGCCGGAATAGGTTGCTACACCTCTGCTTCCTGCTAGGGCGCCGCCCTGGCGAAATCTTTCCGGCGGGGTGGGCGTGCGGACACTGTTAAAAGTATTTTTTTTTCTATATAAATTCCGTTTCGTTCGGGGGTGGGGGGGGGGGGTCGATAGACTTTCTTCGGGGGGTGGGGGGGGGATCTACATGGACTACCTACAGGTCCTAACTCGCGACGAGGTACACATTTGTATTAAAACACACATCTAAGACTCAGTGTTTCTTCCAGACTTTTTTCTCCGGGGGGCGGTAGACTTTCTTCGGGGGGGGGGGGTAGACTTTTTTCTCCGGGGGGGCGGACACTGTTAAAAGTATATATTTTCTATATAAATTATATAAATTTCATTTCGTTCGGGGGGGGGGGGGGGGGCGGTAAAAAATTTTCGGGGGAGCAAAGGCTCCCCCCCCCCTGAAGAGATGCCTGGTAGAAACTCTGTCTAAGACATTTTCCATTTAGGTGGGTTTTGCAGTACAGTGGTTTCTTAAGTCGTGGACAAATGATTGCGCTTATCTCTATTGAGTAGCTATGTATTCTGTCCTATATTAGACACATTTGTAAATATCTGTCACAATATGGGCATAGAGATGATATAACGATAGGATATCTTTGCGGACGACGCTAAACTTTGGCATCGACACCACCGCCTACAAGTTCAAATTCGGTCCTTCAGAAATGTTTGAAGTCTCTAGATTAAAACTACTTTTCTCTTTTATGTGCCTACTGACCACATCACAGTCATGCATTTGTTCTGAAAGTCTAAAAACAGAGGCACAAATATATCGTCTAGACTTGTGAGGTCTACAGATTAGGTATTTTGGCAGTTATCTAAGCCTTTGCCTGTTCTGACTCAAAGCCTTATTCTTTCTCTATCGACGCCTTGCGTAACATGGGATTGGGTTTTTAAGGCGGCATAAAGCTTTATGTTCTTCCTTTTTGAGTACACTAGATTAAAAACTAACGTTTTCAGATGCCTAAAGATGTTTAACCACTAATTAATCAGAATAATGGGTCAAGATTTCAATTCTTGGTTTTGGGACACGTTAGTTGCCGGGGTTGAGCTAATGTCGATAGCATAAGGACTGTACCTTGATGCGGGCGTTTTATTTGTTGCCCATCGTAATAATTGAATGGTTGATGGGGCTTCTTCAAGGGTTTGATTTGCCGTAATGTTAATGATATCATGCATGTGAGGCTTTTCTAAGAAGAAAATGCGTTAAAACACTTTTTAGTTATGCTTTTTTAAAATAGGCCTATATTTTACGACAACATAATCGTAATGAACAATAAAATGAATTTAAACAACTTTAGAATACACCTGTTTCGGCTAACATGAATGTTATTCTTCAAACTAGTAATGTTAATCGTGTCTTTTTCGCATTTTCGACTTATAAGCAATACAGTAAATTCCGATAACTTCCATATGCGTACAAGCAATGGCGTAGGCGAGGAGGGGTTTAATAGTGATTTAATAATGATACTTTCTTAACCCTCTACTGGGCATCATGTTTGGTACCTTGCCCCCGGCAACTGGGTGGATTTGGATTTCACCCAAGTTTTACTTCATAGTAAATGACTTCAGTTTTAATTATTGGAGTTGGTAGCAACATTGACACAGTTGAAGGTATTCAGAACAAGGTGGCCAGGAGAAATCACATTAATTAGTATAAAATTTACCATTACTAACAATAGGCCTTACTTAATTGTTTTATGATGCTGGATATTAAGCCTGGTAGGTATTTATGTTTATTAATTTGTACAGAAACAAAAAAAGGATTCCCAAACAAAGTTTTATTTTTCAGAAATAAAGAAAATGATACAAATCAATAAAGAACAGTTTTCAAAAGAATTTGTATAAAAGTAATTATTATAAAATAGGAATATAGCATTGCATAGATAAAAATAAAATACTTGACACAAACAATATGAGGAATATTTTTTATCAGAGAGGAGAAAAATATATGATGTAGTTTGAAGATAATAATGTACAGAATGTAGCTTTTGCAGATTAAAATGAAAATTCTCATGCCTATATAATTTATTGAGTAAATGAAGCAAGGCCCAAAACACTAGGCTAAATACTATGCATGGGACAGGCATTGAAAACTACAAATTGCATAAAGTGAAGGTTACCCTATTTATTGGCTATATCCACAGTAAAGATTTATGGCTTTATTACCTGCTTGTAAAATTGTTAAGGAAAAAGTGAAGTATTGTTAACGGCACATGTTGTCATTTTTTGTGTTCTCGGCACATGTTGCCATTTTGTGTGTTCTGGGCACATAATGACATTTTGTGTGTTCTGGGAACATGTTGCCATTTTGTGAGTTCATGGAACATGTTGACATTGTTTGGCTGTGTTCTGGGAACATGTTGCCATTATTTGGCTGTGTTCTGGGAACATGTTGCCATTTTGTGTGTTCTGGGAACATGTTGCCATTTTGTGTGTTCTGGGAACATGTTGAAATTATGTGGCTGTGTTCTGGGAACATGTTTGTTTCACTTTTAAATATTATAATAAAACATTTTTAGAAATTCTATATTAGGAATTGTGTATATATATATAAATTTATATATTTAATAAGACAATTGGATGAATTATAATAAACAGCAAAAATGATTCAAATAAGTTTAGAAGTATTTGGCTTGATGTCCCAACAGTGAACTGTATTCCGAGCTTGTTTCCCTAGTGATAAACCATCTTTTTTGTGCCACCCTTCCAATCAAATATCCAGCTTTTTCTTGGCCTGTATCATATTGCTGGTTATAGACTTGCTTGATTTGTGTATCACAATATGATTTTGAATGTTCTTCTGTAAATGAAATAAAGACAAAATATTTTGAAATATTCTTTTGTGGAACTAGCAAGAGAAATACATTACGAATTTATATTACTATCTCTACTATTTCTTTACTATAACTAATTACTTTGAAAAGATAAAGCACTGAACATGATGAATAACAAGAAACAAACATTATCAGCAAATATTATATATTTAAAATTGTGTTCATTCATATTGAAGATTAATGAAGTAGACTATCAATATTTACCCTCTTGATAGCTGATACTTTGATTTGATGTCTTTACTTTAAGCTTACACATCAGTCTCTGTGTGGTAAAATATGAAATAATATGCTTCAATAAAACTGTTTCAGTATATTAATTATATTAGATAAGTACATAGTTTTGAGCTCTATAACAATATGTGTTTCAATTATCATTCAAATATAATACCCTCTATGTCGTACAACTCACTGATTTATTAGAATTTAAGAAAAGACAATAATTAATAAAATATTTTGGATTAAAATCCATTATATTTATTTTAACATATAATGCTATCTCTTGCTATAATAATTACTTTAAAAAATGGGTTATGCCTATAGTACAGTTACCTGAGGATGAAACTAGGCACAGTGTATAGTCCACGGAGACTGATTAATATCCCTTGTAATTGAACATCAGTTGTAGTTATGAAATCTGGATGGCCAAACACACAGTCATAGTCCTGAAAAGCAATTTACACATAGATTAGCAAGAATATCTCACAAATTATTAAATTAAAGCTAACCCCTATTTAGTGCAATCCATCAAAGTAGTAGCATTTACAAAGTAATGTTTGTTCTGTCATTTACATACTTTTATAAAATAGCAATATATATATATATATATATATATATATATATATATATATATATATATATATATATATATATATATATATATATATATATATATATATATATACATATATATATATATATATATATATATATATATATATATATTCATTGTAAATTTTAGTTATGTCTTGCTATTAAATTTATTTACTCGACTGATCTAAACTCACTTTATTTAAACATAATATAGTGGATAAGTGTAGTGATTTTATTATTCAGCAATAAATAGCAGGCCTAAAAATTTTTAAATAGTAACGTTTGCGAATGAACACATTAAATTCTATGTATTTCCATTTCTATGTCTTTCCCAACTTGATGCATATTACTAACCAAGCATTAAACTATAGTCCTAAACCTGACTCTAATTATCATTTATCGGACAACCTGAACCTTTGCGATACCATGTTATAATATATTATTTTAAAAAAGAGCTTACCACTAATTACTAAAATCAATTGTTTTTAGTATTAACTGAGCCGCATACTATTTGCTCCTATTGTCATCACCAGAAATCCAGTATGTTGGCAAAGATTAGTCTCTAAGTTCCCTGCAACCTCCTTCCTCTTGAGTGCGGAAAACACTGAAATTATTAATCATTATTTCATTATGCCTAATAGTTTAAAGGTAGTATTAAAGTAGTACTAAATAGTATGAGTCTTAGTTACTATAGGTCTAATGATAATTATTATTGTGTATGCTTACATGCTTTAAGTTTTATGCACAATATTGGTATAAAATATTTAGTCTATAGTATATAGCCTAAGCTATAGAGTATATAGGCCTATAAGCCTAAATATAACAGCAGCTTGAATAATGCTCATTAGCATGCATTCACTATAAACTATAAAGATAAACAAATATTTCAATTTAATTTAATTATAACTAATAATAGTAAATAGGCTTTTTTCTTGTGGTAACAAATTTAAAGTATAGGGCAGTACAGTTATAGTATAGGCCTACTAGATTCTATATTTAAGTATGTGGGCTTTTCATTCCAATGCACCACAATAGATACCACACATGATCAAGCTGGACCTCTGATCTAAAGATTTAATAATTGGGCCTAACAAACAGTGAAACTACAATAAAAATCATGTAAATTACTAATTTAACCTTCTTACCTCCGCTTCTCTAGATCTAGATGGGTTTTCTTTTTATGCAGCCGTATGATTAGATTCTAGAATCTAGACTATATTCTAATAAACATGAAATAACTACTAACCAGAACACTAGATCTAAATTTCTATATTCTAAGAAATATGTATTAAACCTATAGGCCTAATATTTATTTTGAATTCCTATGCGATGTGTCGTGAACTGTAGGTTTCATGTTATTTTTGTAATGGCGGAAATCAGTTTAAAATTTCGTTTCCTTCCTTTTGTTATTCTATTTATAGATTCAAAAGTCGGAGCAATTATCATTGAGTTTGTCGGCTGATCCACACAGGAAGTGACCGTATATCTATTAGTTACTCAGTGATCCGATCATTGACAGATACAGAGATAGCCATTCGCATGGAGTGAGAGAGGAGAGAGAGAGAGAGAGAGGAGAGAGAGAGAGAGAGGGGGGGGGGGTGACAGATAAAGATAGTTATATATAGTGTGTTAATTTACTGATTCAATGATACTGAATAAAAGAAAAAAATAGGTTTTCAATATAGAAAATATGTAATCTAATTTTTAATAGAACGAATGCAATAATCACAATAACAGTTGCAGTCAAAATAAATTTCAATTTTCTTTGCAAACTCAAAATTTGGATTAGTGATTTAATACGTAAAGTAAATATTGATTTTGCCTAGTAAACCAATTCAAACATTTTTATAAAGTTAATTTGATTTTTCTCAAAGTTCTAGATCTTAATTACATCTTCAACAACAAAAATACGTTTATGTTTAAAACATCAAATGTATGTATGTAAATTAATTTAAATGATTTTGACCATACACCTAACTCTTACATACCGGGAAGATGGTGCTGGCTTTTATTTATCTATTTATTTATTTATTTATTCAATTACGTTAACAATAGTAGGCACGAAGGCCTTTTTTCACATTGGCCGTTTTAGAATAAACAAATAAAACAACAAATTAATAACAGCAATTAAAAAAAGCTATTGCATAGTAACGACATAGCAGTAACATATCATTAATAATGTGGAATGAAGAAATAACATAGTTATAATAAAAAATGAGATAAAATAAGAATATAATAGATGAATGAGAAATATTTGCACTGAGTCAGTTAGAGAGGTCATTAAATAATTGCTGTTTTAGTTTAGCTTTGAATATATTTTCAGATCTAGATAGTTTTATTTTATTAGGAAAATTGTTCCACAAAATAGAACCAGAGTAGGCGAAGTTGTGATTTTGGAAAAAAAAGTTGTATATGGGATCGGTAAATTAAGACGGCGATTTAATTTTATTTTAAAAGAATATACGTCTGATAAGTAAGAGGGGGCTGTTTCGTGAAATATTTTGTATAAAAAATAGATTTAGTATATATTATCTTTTTATTTAATGAAAGTATATTAGTTGTAATAAAAGAATCCAGACTACTAGACAAGCCAGTAACCAGTTTTATTTTCCTTTTTTGTAATGCTAGAAGAGGACGCTGCTTAGTTATAAAGCTACCGCTCCACACTACAGAAGCATAATCCAACCTAGATTGAATAAAAGCTTCATAAAAAAATTACATAGAACTGCTTGATGATAAATAGACACATATCATATAAACCATTCAAGTGTTTGTAGACAAGTATTTTACAGACATAGTAAGTTGTTAGAGTGTGTTTAACATGTTGGTTACATATGTTATTTTTTGAGAATTTAGCATCCACCATGTTTTGTGTTGTACTTTATAGACTAACGATAGTGTTGTACTTTATAGACTAACGATAGTAAAACTACTGTAAAAGGATAAAGCTGCGTCTTGATCTGCGCGAAACACTTTCAAGTAAAGTTCTTGACCTTTCTTCATGTCAACAACCACTGACCCAGCAGCGCTAGTGTCGGCACATTTCACTTCTATAGACTTACACCACTCTTCTCCAGCCACCACAGCGACTCTAATCAGTTTATCTTCCCATTCATGTAGAGTTACACAGACAAGATATAAACCATCATGTGGTGATACAAATTTTCCTGTTGTTTCATTAAAATGTTGACCGTTATATTCACGTACTTTATAAAATGTAGAAATAATTAATCCAGCACTGACAGGTGAGTGATCAGCAAGCTCCACATGACAAGCATATCTGTTACATACACGTGACTCTGTTGATTAGAAAACATCTGTATGAATTACAGGTTTAATTTCATAAATGGTGTCATCCATTTATGACGTCCACAAAAATTTGGAATTTCAGCAATTTTTTTTTTACTGAAGATGCATTTGTGTCTGTCTAGCTATTAACGAATATATAGGTTAGGGTAAATTCACTAATCAACGTGACGTCATTTCATTACTCTAACACAACTTCACGCTACCCATGTTCCATAATAAACCACCTCCGCCCTTTAGTCCTAATTGCGCCGACCGTGAGCCCTACACAACTGACCAAGCGAGTATATTATACACATGCTATTATTTAAATATCTTACTGTAAAGTGATCATTTGTAGTTTTTTTAAATCTATCTATATATATATATATATATATATATATATATATATATACTAGCCGTCCCGGCCAGGCCCTGCTCTGGCATCTGTGAAAAACCTTTCTATTAAAGACCATTACCTGTGTGTTTAGTAATCATCATAAACCCGGCATTGCCCACCCAAACCACAACCAACCAAAACAACAAAACGCAAACATAACGCTAACACAATTACAAATACAAAAGAAAATAAAAACCTAACAACAAACCCAACCACAATCACAAACACCAATACAAACACAAATAAAAAACAAACAAAAAAGCAAACGAAAACAAAAACCTAACAACAAACCCAACCACAACCACAAACACTAATACGAACACAAAGAAAAAAACAAACGAAAAAGAAAAAGAAAACAAACCAAATCCAAACGCAAAACCAACCAAAAACACAAATACAAACCCAAAGAAAAAAACACAAACAAAAACGAAAAAAGAAAGAACAAAAACAAACCAAATCAAAACGCAACCACTAACGCAAACCCACCTAAACACAAAGAAAACACTAACGCGAACATAAACGCCCGGGGCGGAATCACCTGTTTTAGCTTAATGAACGACTATGGTGGCCGGAAAGAACCGCAACGGAAAAAAGCGCAACGGAAAAAAGCGCTTTTTTCCGTTTGCGCTTTTTTCTGTTTGCGCTTTTTTCTGTGTGCGCTTTTTTCCGTTTGCGCTTTTTTCCGTTTGCGCTTTTTTCTGTTTGCGCTTTTTTTCGTTTGCGCTTTTTTCCGTTTGCGCTTTTTTCCGTGTGCGCTTTTTTCTGTTTGCGCTTTTTTCCGTTTGCGCTTTTGTCTCTTTGCGCTTTTTTCCGCTTGCGCTTTTTTCTGTTTGCGCTTTTTTCTGTGTGCGCTTTTTTCTCTTTGCGCTTTTTTCCGTGTGCGCTTTTGTCTCTTTGCGCTTTTTTCCGTTTGCGCTTTTTTCTGTTTGCGCTTTTTTCCGTGTGCGCTTTTTTCTCTTTGCGCTTTTTTCCGTTTGCGCTTTTTTCTCTTTGCGCTTTTTTCTGTGTGCGCTTTTTTCTCTTTGCGCTTTTTTCCGTGTGCGCTTTTTTCCGTTGCGCTTTTTGTTTTGCGCTTTTTTCCGTTGCGCTTTTTTCCGTTGCGGTTCTTTCTGGGAACCAACGACTATAGTACCCCAACTTATTCATAGTCTTTTGCACTCACTTAAACGAACGCGCCTGTTTCAATTTAATGAACAATTATAATACTCCAAGCTTATCCGTTAAATACCTACAACATTTGCACTTGATCAATCCCCGCTAATTATGTAATTATTTTTTTTCCCAACACCAAAACAAAGTAATAAAAAGTAAATTCTTTTCCACTAATGCAATGGTTTTATAAAGGGAAGTAATTGTGTTTTCCTAATTTATCAAAGGGAAGTAAGTGCTATAGGACTAAAAAAAGAAATAATTAGAGATGATATTTTTTTAAAACTTGTGTTTAATGAACATGCCGAAAATTATTACTTTCAGTTTGATAAATGAAAATTATTTCCCAAAACTTTCAATATTAATTTTTTAACTCATAAATTTAGACCACAAGGACTTTAATTATCTAACACTTAAATCCATCGAAGTATGTCAACGACAAACAAACAAACTTATTACATGTTAGTTACATACAGAATTGAGCTTTATATATTAGATATATATATAAAGCAATGTATGTGTGTGTGTGTGTGTGTCTGTGTCTGTCTGTGTGTCTTTTATACACTTCCACGCCTCTTATCACATCGCCGTCGAACTTTGGGATGTTGTTGAGAATATTCCTGGGGAGGTTTCAGCGGGAAAAAAAAATTAAAATTCGCAAGGGTGGCGCCCCGGCAGGGAGCGATTTGTTTTTTCTCTATAAACGGTATATAAAAAAATAAGAGTCGATTGCAGATTCACACTGTTCATCCAATCGCCGTAAAACTTTGGGGAGTCGAGTAGAGCAATTCAGGGAAGGGTTCTGTTAAAAAAAATCATTTTTAATTTCGCAAGGGCGGCGACACGGGATGCTGCAATTTTCCTCTATATACGGTATATAAAAATAAACGTCGATTCCGGTTTCACAGCGTTCATCCGATCGACATCAAACTTTGGGGAGTTGAATAGAAAACTCCAGAGAAGGGTTCTGCAAAAATTCTTTATTAATTTCGCAAGGGCGGCGCCTCGGGAGGGTGCGATTTATCTCTACAAGTGGCATATAAAAATAGTGATCTTGCATCTCTTTATTTATTTTGTGTAATTTGTTTTTATATTCTTTTATATCTAGAGACAGTTTCTCTAGTGTTTTGTTTGACTTGGATTCTTTTTCTTTTAATCTTTCAATTTCTTTGTTCAGCTCCTTTACTTTGTTATCTTGTTCACTCATTTGTTTTCTGATGTTTTTAAAACTCTGCTTTTGTTTTTTAGTCAGTTGTTCAATGTTTGCCCCCATGTCACTCTGTTCTGTTACAAAGTTGTCTCTCGATTGTTTTATTTCTGATATGTCATCTGTAGACTTGTGTTGTGTGTCCTGTAGGGAAGATAGTGCTGCTTCAATATAGGCGAGTCTACGCTCTAGGTCAGGATGTTCTTCAACTGAGGATAGTCGCAAATATAAGTCTGTAATTTAAAATGTCCAAAAACTTGAAAATTAGGGTGTTAAAAACGAATTTAAACCAAAGTATCAATCGTACATTGGTTTACAAAATACAATACATGTACATATTTTAAAATGATATCCAGTATATGATGCTATTAAACGTGTTTTACCAAAACATGATATAATATACCAGCTGTGTGTTGAACTTTCGTGATGAGTTGTCTTGGTGATTATACGGATAGTAATTCTGCTGTTTAACTTGTTATATCAAACATAACTAAGACATATGTTTGTCTTTTGTTTTGAGTTGTCTTGTTGATTCTACTGTTAGAAATTCTGCTGTTTAACGTGTTATATAAAAAAAAACTAAGACATACCCGCTGTGTGTTGGACTTGTGTGATGAGCTGTCTTGTTGATTCTATTGTTGCTGTTGTCTGTGTGTCAGACTGTGGTAAAGATGGCGTTGGTTTGTTGACATCCACGTTAGCCTCGTCTGGTGGATTGGGGTTCAGAATTTTATTTTAGTTACAGTTCAATGAATAATGTTTAATTGTACATACAAAATTTCTAGTAAGCTGCAAAGTGTTTTAATTTTTTACAATAATTTTTTTTTCAAATTTAGACAATCAAATTTTATTGAAATTATAATTCGTTTAAACATCTAATCTCTTCCATCTGTTAAATTTTCCAGGTCTACATATTTACATAATAATTTATTTTAAATTAATTTACAAACTAATTTATTTTCAATTGAACTAAGAAGTAAAAATCTAATTTATAAATTGAAAGAGTAACATTAATTTTTAACCAAGGCGTTTAATAAAAAATCATATAACATTCTATTAAGTTATTTCTTTCTAACTCTTTTTATGAATAAATAAAGTACGACAGTTGATTTCAAATTCTAAATGTTTACCATATTATAAATTATCAATGTTAATAATGTGTTAGTGTTAATAACTTAGGCCGGATTTATCAACGTCGCAATTTAACTTTTAATAAAATTACTACACGTATACCTTCGTAATTCTTTTTTCCCTAGTTTCCAAGTTCTGGTTAAATATTTGAATCAGTTTGTCAATGGGCATCAACCTTTGTTGTAGGAGCTTGTACAACACACACTGCTAAATGAGCGACGATCACAATTGACAATGTATACATTTAACCATTTTTATTGCATAATAAAACTCACAGAAAATTAAAATTGAAATAAATGGTATTACTATTGCTATAATTAAAAATTTAAAGTACATTAACTACCCTTCAGAAAAAGATTAGTGTAGAAAATAATTAGCAATTTTAAAGTTTACCTTTGATTGCAACTTTTCAAATCCGGTTGATGTATTGACCACGATTTTATTATGATTTTCTTGTAAAGAAACAATCAAATCAGAAAGACTTTTAATTTCTGGAGTTATACTGTCTGTTTTATCTCTGTGATCTTGCATCTCTTTATTTATTTTGTGTAATTTGTTTTCATATTCTTTTATATCTAGAGACGGTTTCTCTAGTGTTTTGTTTGACTTGGATTCTTTTTCTTTTAATCTTTCAATTTCTTTGTTCAGCTCCTTTACTTTGTTATCTTGTTCACTCATTTGTTTTCTGATGTTTTTAAAACTCTGCTTTTGTTTTTTAGTCAGTTGTTCAATGTTTGCCCCCATGTCACTCTGTTCTGTTACAAATTTGTCTCTCCATTGTTTTATTTCTGATATGTCATCTGTAGACTTGTGTTGTGTGTCCTGTAGGGAAGATAGTGCTGCTTCAATATAGGCGAGTCTACGCTCTAGGTCAGGATGTTCTTCAACTGAGGATAGTCGCAAATATAAGTCTGTAATTTAAAATGTCCAAAACCTTGAAAATTAGGGTGTTAAAAACGAATTTAAACCAAAGTATCAATCGTACATTGGTTTACAAAATACAATACATGTACATATTTTAAAATGATATCCAGTATATGATGCTATTAAACGTGTTTTACCAAAACATGATATAATATACCAGCTGTGTGTTGAACTTGTGTGATGAGTTGTCTTGGTGATTATACGGATAGAAATTCTGCTGTTTAACTTGTTATATAAAAAAAAACTAAGACATATGTTTGTCTTTTGTTTTGAGTTGTCTTGTTGATTCTACTGTTAGAAATTCTGCTGTTTAACTTGTTATATAAAAAAAAACTAAGACATACCCGCTGTGTGTTGGACTTGTGTGATGAGCTGTCTTGTTGATTCTATTGTTGCTGTTGTCTGTGTGTCAGACTGTGGTAAAGATGGCGTTGGTTTGTTGACATCCACGTTGTCCTCGTCTGGTGGATTGGGGTTCAGAATTTTATTTTAGTTACAGTTCAATGAATAATGTTTAATTGTACATACAAAATTTCTAGTAAGCTGCAAAGTGTTTTAATTTTTTACAATAATTTTTTTTTTCAAATTTAGACAATCAAATTTTATTGAAATTATTTTCGCTTAAAAATCTAATCGCTTCCAGGTCTACAAATTTACATACTAATTTCTGTTAAATTGAAACAAGAAGTAAATACCGAATTTATAAATTGAAAGTGTAACATTAATTTTTAACCAAAGCGTTTAAAGAAAAATCATATAACATTCTATTAAGTTATTGCTAACTCTCTTTATGAATATATAAAGTATCACAGTTAATTTCAAATTCTAAATGTTTAAAATAATATCAATTATAAATGTTAATATTGTGTTAGTTCTTGGTATATGTCAATCTCTAAGAAAATAATATGTTGTGTGATAGTGGATTAAGAGAGAAATTATATCCCTTAACAATGTTATGTCCCATTTGTTTTAGTTAAATTGTAAGACAGTTTTTTGCGTTTTTCTCACACCAAACTTTTAAGCTACATGACAGCAGGCTTAGATATTTTAAATTATAAAGTGAATTAAAAAACTGACCTAAAATATGTGACGTCACATCCAACAATGCCGTGGCTGCTGTGTCCAGTTCTTGTGATAGCTCGATGTAGCTGACAGATGATTGGTCAGTTTTTTCTTCTAGCCACGCCTTACTTTTTGTAACAACCTGGTGATCACAAACGTAAACATTATTTCAACTAGCCACGTTTTGTATGGCTGTTTTATCAGAACATGTCAAACGTAAAACACTTTCAGAGGCGTATCCGGGTTTTCGTTGTAGGTGGAGAGAAAAGAGCACAAAAAGGCGCCGAATTTTTAACACGTTCAATATACGTATATTATATATATATATATATATATATATATATATATATATATATATATATATATATATATATATATATATATATATATATATATATATGTAATTACTAGCTATATGTCATTACTTCGCTATGATGTAAAATAAATTGAAAGTAGCACTCTGTAGAAATAAGAAAAAACACAATGTATGCCGACAAAACAAAAATTGTATCAATCTAAACAAACGAGAAAAATGGCCCGTTGAGGAAGAATACAACGGGCGCTAGGTTGATAGTGCTGTCTATGTTCTCGGTAATTTAATTTATACAAAATATAGTCATAGGCATATCCCTAAACCATGCACCTAATCTCATTCATGACAAAAGTCGCATTTAGAGTTTCTTTCAGGCAACTCTACTTGGGAGGAGGGGGCTTCGCCCCCTCCCCCCCCCCCCCCCACACACTCCAAAACATGTCTACCGTCCCATTCAAGGAAATATAATTATATACTTTTTCCAGTGTCCGCCCCCTCCCAGAAAATTCTACCCCGCCCCCGAAAATTTCAAGTACCCCCACCCCTCTCCGGGGAGGAAAAAGTCTGACAGAAACACTGGTCGCATTTGTAGATCATACAAACTAAAGGAAGAATCTGGGCGGGGCTTCGCCCCTACCGGAAGAGATGCTTGGAAAAAAACTGCACGCTAAACACTTTTTAGATTAGAAAAAGTTCCCCCCTCCGGGGAGGAAAAAGTCTGAAAGAAACGCTGGTGTCACGCTTAGCCACTACCCGAAGAATTGCATTAAAGAAATTGCAAGAAAACCACTTTTTAGATTAGACACATTAATTAGGCGGTAATTTTATTATAGAGTATCGATGAAGACATTTCTTTTGAGTTGGGGAGGGGGGGGGGGGGCTCAGACGCTCTTACGCGGGGATGGGGCTTCGCCCCTACCCGAAGAATTGTATGCAAGAAACTCTTCACGCAAACCATTTAGATTAGACAAAATTGCCTTTTTGTTCAATGTTTACTCGAGAATCAATGACGTCATATTACTGTGTGCACTCTCCGGCTTGATAATATTTTCTACTATATGACGTCATACTTCGTTTCCGTCTGACTGTTCATGTTTTTAAATTGCTTGTGTTTTCTCTAGAGCGTTCTTGTCAGATACATAGATACACAGATAGATAGATACACAGACAGCGAAACTATTAGTATTATTAATAAGTGAAATAGGGGAAGTAATCACTCTCTTAATATAAATATGTATATATCTACACATGTAATTATAAATGTCAAAACAAATAAATAATCACTTTAGAATATAATGAAATTGTTTAACACTATACGTGTTTTCAAAATGTTTATGTCTATAATCAAAATTTAATATATCGTCATCATAAATGCTAAGGTAATACAGCATAATGAAAGTTTTTAAAATAAGAGTTGGTATAAAACCACGCTTTTCGATAGAGTAGAAAAACATTCGGAATAACAGCCTACATTTAACTAACAATCGGTCTTTTAGTTCAGACCATATATTTTTAATTAACTACTCCTTGTTTGTGTTTTTTAAAGATCATTTTTAACATAGTGATAGGTATAGGTTATATCACTGTATTGATCACACACCTTTTTACTGGTAATTGCAAAAACAATGTTCACAGAGTTTTACGTTTAAAAAGCTAATTTTCTGGCGGCATAGTACTTAGGTACATGATTAAGCGTTTTTCTACATGTACTTAATAGATCAGTTCGGGGTGGGTTGGGGGTGGGGGTGGGTTTAACTTCATTCACCACTGTTCGGTCACTTTAGGTCAATTATCCAACTCAGTGTATACCTAGATGTGACATTAATGTCGCTCTACACAATTGTGGTGGTGAGGTGTGTATATGGGGGGGGGGGGGAGATAACCAACTCAGAGTGAACATGGCGTCAGTTTTTAGATGACTGTTCTAAACGTACATATATATTACACAAATATATATTACACAAATAAATATTACAGAAATACATTTAAATAAGTAGCAGTGGTATTATGACCATATTTGTTTTACAGAGAGGTCCATGGGGAGGGCGGGGGGTTGTAACTGTTTCATATACTTTGTAATCTTATTCACTATCGCCCAAACTGTAAGAATACTACTACTTCATCGTGATGACGTTGTTGGCCTTGTTAAAATTTCACCACCACTAAGCAGTTTGATCATAAGTAAATTTAAATAGAGGTGCCACATCAGTTGTATTTGTTTCTGTATTGTAAATTTTAAAAAAATTAATCACACGATTCAAACTGTATATATAAAGTAATTATGAGTGAAGTTTTATGTATAACATTTTCTAATTCAATTATTCGTAAGCAAATACATTACACAGTTGCCTTAAACTTAACACTCCTCTTGCCAAGTGGTACTACCCGTAGAGGTTTTTAAACATTGCAATGCATCGTAATGGTTATTTTTAAAATGGTAAACTGATGCAGCTGTTAATACGTGTTGTAAACGTAGACACTACTAGACTAGTACAATAATGCTTAACTGTTGCATGAAAAGAAATCTTGTGGTTTACATAGATGTGCCGACCAAAAATATCATTGTTTAAAACTTTGAGTTTAAAAAGTTTCCAAAAAGGCGCCACTTTGCTGAAAATGGCCAGAGGGGGAGCTGGCGCTCCCACTGCTCCCCCCTACGTACGCTACTGAACACTTTCTATCGTCTAAATGATATATTACTAAGTAGGCTTATATAATGTTTAAATCTTTAAATAGTATATTTAAAAACAATATATATATATATATATATATATATATATATATATATATATATATATATATATATAATTTAATGAAGATACTAGGGTAAGTTTATTTTACTTTTCAAAAATCTGTTTTGTGTAATTAAATTATTTAAAAAAAGTTGTTGTCTCAAAAGAGCACCCATTAATATTAAAATTAGTAGTAGCCTTAAAATGTTTTAATCTTACATTTTTCATACGTTCAATCACAGGTCCCAGAACTTGTATCTTTTCTTCCAAATATTTTATCTGTTCTGTAACAACCTTGACCTGAATTCGTGTAGGCATCTGGTTTAAAAATAGAATCTTCACTTTATACATTTTTTTGCTAGTCGCATAAGTCAATGTGATAAATCATAGATGACAGAGACATTTGGTTTACTAACAAGGGTTAAAGTGGAGGATATGTTTAGTCTCTTATGCTTATGACAGATGTGTTGAAATAATTTATGTTTCATGAAACATAATTGCATTGTAAAAAAGGGAGTAGAATGACGTTTATCCGTGGTTGTTACGATCGTTGATGCAGAGATAGGTGTAAACATTTGCAGACGTGTGTGTTAGCATCTGTGAAAATATACATTGCCACCCCCCCCCCCTACAGCATGACTGCTATAACACAGCAATAAAATATCAAGGTGTGATACCAAGGTGTGATACCAAGGTGTGATACCAAGGTGTGATACCAAGGTGTGATACCAAAGTGTGATACCAAGGTGTGATACCAAGGTGTGATACCAAGGTGTGATACCAAGGTGTGATACCAAGGTGTGATACCAAGGTGTGATATCATATTTAGATACCAAGGTGTGATACCAAGGTGTGATACCAAGGTGTGATTCCAAGGTGTGATACCAAGATGTGATACCAAGGTGTGATACCAAGGTGTAATACAAAGGTGTGATACCAAGGTGTCATACCAAGGTGTCATACCAAGGTGTGATACCAAGGTGTGATACCAAGGTGTGATACCAAGGTGTGATACCAAGGTGTGATACCAAGGTGTAATACAAAGGTGTGATACCAAGGTGTCATACCAAGGTGTCATACCAAGGTGTGATGCCAAGATGTGGTAAATTAATTTCAGCAGTTGTTTTACAAGCTATGGATCGCTAGCAGGATATGGGTTAGTAGGAAAGTAATATATTAATATTTGTAGTGATAAAAGGTGTACATTCCTTGTAAAATGTTATTTTAATACATACTAATACTACGGAAAATTATTAAAAAAACAGGAGTAAACTCCCTAAACATTAACGGTATATATTTGTATATTACCATAAGTCGGAAGGCACTTTCAGTGCAATCGGGCGTTAAAAAGGTTTTTAAAAATTTATTCTTAAATAACTAAATAGGCCCTACAGTATAACAGTAGAATTGTATCACAAAAGTGCATTTGCTCAACTATCTAGTCTGTAATAAGTCAGATGTCTAAAGTTTATCTATCAATAACTTTTGGTTTGCTAAATGTAAACTTACATTTGACTGAATAATCCTAAGTTCTAAGCTGTTTGACACTTGATTTATTCACTCCACTTAAACAACAAAAGTTGCAGCCACCGTGTAGTGTTGCCTGTTTTATTTGTACTTTGTAGTGACCCGTTCTTTGGCTTAATTTCTTATCATTTATCTTAGTTGAATATAAACACAAGAACATCGAATCGTGTTATTGTGCAATCATTGTCTGATTTTATCACTTACATCTGCTCTAGTTTAGTTATGATAAAATAAAACAGTATATGACTGGTTATAGTCTGTTTATAAACTAAATTGGTTGTATGTCAGCGATACATTTCTCTGCATTGTACAAAGTCAGCGTAGAGTAAATAACAAGCAAATAAGATGGGTGAAATATAAACCTCGGATCTAGGCCTTTTAAATATCAGTGGACGCCCATGTTAATGACGAACCATTGATATGAAAATTGCTAAAAGCGATACCAATTTAACTGGGTATTTCTACAACAAAAGAGACAGCAATGGCTATTAATAAATATACAATTAGAGATAAAGTTTATTAGGCTCACCGTGAATAATAAAAAAAATATTTCCAAAACAAATAAAAATGTTAAATTTGCAAAATACAATTATATGTATCAAGTATAGAGCAATATTTGTGATTGTCAAATCAGTTTTACTGCATCCATTTTTTAATATTTTCTTATTAAGGACTAAATAATATTACAAATACACATTGGAGAACTGAAGTTTAAAAATATTTATGCGGAACCTGCAGAGGCGTAGCGATGGGGGGGAGGGGGGTACATATGTCCCCCGGTCGCCAACCTTAGGGGGCGCCAAAATGGGTTGAAAAAACAAATTAAAATGTTATTTTAGCTTCATTTTTGCATTATAAATAGTTTGATGGGAGGGGGGGGGGGGCGTGCAACATCGAAAGTTTTAGGGGGGGGTGCAAATCGAAAGTTGAGGGGGGGGGGTGATAATTGAAAATTTGCTCCCGAGGGGGCGCCAAATTGAGAGTTTGTCCCCGGGCGCCGGAAAGTGTCGCTACGCCTCTGGGAACCTGATAATATTTCTGCTTCCGGATCAACTGTAGTTTCGTTGAAGAAAGGCCAAGAACTAAATTTTCAATAATCAAAATCAGCATCTTTCCTGCAAAAAAAGAAGCGTTTTCACTATTTTAAGAATTTAGCTGATAGGAATATAGTTGTTTTTATAAACCAAAAATTTAAAATCGAAATATAAACGGCATCAGTTGTACATTACCATTAGGGTTGATTCACACTATGAGCTTAAAATGATCTTTATTCACTGAAGAGGTAACGGCGTGGCTATGCGATAGAGTAAAAAGCTGATAACTCGAAAGTCTCAAGATAAAATCTGGATCCAGTAAGTTCAGCGTCCCTGATTCTGCTTAGCTCTGATGTCCACCTAACGCTAAAACTAAATCGTTTTTACATATGCCGAGGTCAAGAAATATAAGAACTCTACTTTGTCGGCCAAATGGATCGCTATGTGTGAAGATTATTTACTTTATACACTAAATATAACATGGTTGTTTAATAACTCTACATAGCATTACTTTTACTGCATATAATATTAATAATGAATATGGTCTGTCTGGCTAACGAACAACACGTTATGGTCTGTCTGGCTAACGAACATCACGTTATGGTCTGTCTGGATAACGAACTTTGTTTAACAAGTTGTTATGTCCATGTAATGGAAAACCAGAGAGTGAAATATTTAGATAAATGTGAGAGATTGAGGGTAGAATATTGAACAATGGTAATAAAACAAATAAAACATTTAACGATTAGTTATCATTGCGAATTATATAATAGCTTTTACTATTGTTACATTTAAACGAGAAAATCAAAAGGTAGAATTGTCATTAAATTACAATTATTATATACATATGTTTTAAAATATTTTGTTTTCAAAGCAAACTTACCGATGAGATGAAAATCGTTAGATTACTTTGAAATAGTATTTTCAAGTTCACCCAGCTAAATAAAAATAAAATATATAAATGAAAGAATCACATATCTACAAAGGCTATCATACACAACTGGTCTACCGATTCCATAGATTATGACAACTTGTAAGAAAAGAAAATGATTAAACGTATATATAAACGTATTTTCTTATTTTAAGTATTAAAATTATTTTTCTGCAAATTAAAAAAAATAAAATAATGGACATATAATAACAGACTTTAACTGAGTAATGTAGGACTGATCGGTGTTGTAATTTATTGTTTATATCCCAGGTTCTGGTTAAAGATCTAAATCAGTTTCTCAATGGGCATCAATCTTTGTTGTAGAAGTTTATACACAACACTGTGCTAAATAGATGATTTATACATTTAACTATTTTATTGTATATTAAAACTCACATACAATTAGCGTTTATATAACCTTTATGATCATAAGTTAGGTTAGTCAATTTTAAAATTTACCTTTGATTGCAACTTTTCTAATTGGGTTGATGTTTTCACAAAGATTTTATTATTTTCATCTTGTAAAGAAGCAATCATATCAGAATGGTTTTTAATTTCTTCTTTTATAACGTCTCTTACATCTGTATTAGCTTGCATCCCCATATTTATTTTGAGTAATTTATTTTCATATTCTTTCACATCTAGAGAAAGTTTCTCTAGTGTTTTGTTTGACTTGGATTTTTTTCTTTTAAAGTTTCAATTTCTTTGTTCATCTCCTTTAATTTGTTATCTTGTTCACTCATTTGTTTTCTGATGTTTTTAAAGTTCTGTTTTTGTTTTTTATTCATTTGATCAATGCTTACCCCCAAGTCATTCTGTTCTGTTACAAAGTTGTCTCTCCATTGTTTTATTTCTGATATGTCATCTTTAGTTTTTAGTGTTGTGTCTTGTAGACAAGATATGCTGTTTTCTAGAAGACCCAGTCGGGTTAAAAAATGTAACAGCAATGGTTCAAACAGAATAGAATAAGATTAATGTTTGTACATTTCTTATTCTATTTTAAACGTTTTAACTTAGCAAATACAAAATATTTTATACCAGCTGTTTGTTGACTTAGTTTAGTGACTTGTTGAGCTGATTTATTTTGGTCACGTGTCTCTGTTGCTGTAGGCTGTAGTGTAGACTGAGATATAGATGGCGTTCTACCATCTACACCGCCAGGCTCTTTATTTTCACCTTTTGGTAAAAGTATACATAATAAGTTGAATTTAAATTACAATTATTTTCTCTTTTAAAACAGCAATTGAGATTCTGGGGACATATAATAGGAAACAAATTACGTCAATAATATATTTCTCGAGCTTATATTAGATAATTGGCAATATATAATATATGATCTTATATTTTATACTGGAAAAGTAAATAAATTCGTATATTTATCTAGAGATGGTATGGGAACTCTCGCTTTAAACTAGTTCTTTAGTTCATAACTGATAACATAATTTAGACAGACTTATTGTATTCAATGTTTACTTAAAATGTTTGAAGCTACATCCAACAAGGCCGTGGTCGCTGATGCAAGTTCTTGGCAAAGCTCTATGTATGTGATAGACGGGTTGTCATTTTTATCTTCCATCCACGTCTTGCTTTTTTCTAATGCCTGATGATATAAAAATTGTCAAAGTAGTTAAAACTATGTGGCTGCTAAACGTAACTTACTACTACCTACATGCTAATACACGAAACAACATTAAAACAATTCAACTGTAAAATATGAATAATGGCTCACATTTTTCATCAAGCCAATAACAGGCTCCATCAATTGCATTTGTTCTTCCAAATATTTCATCTGTTCTCCAACAAACCTCAGCTGAATTCTGGGACGCATCTAAATAAAACAAATATAAGATTAGTGTCTTTAACTGTCAGGTTAAGTGGGTAATTTGGTTTGTCGATCCAACGTCCGAGTCACATGCTTTTGGTTTTCATTTGGTTAATTTTTGACCCGCTAGTCTGCCCAAAGTCAAGGAAATTGTCTATTATTAGAATGATAGATTTTTCGGTTTGGAGGATAAAGGCTGAGTCATCAGTTTACACTAGAATTTTGTTTGTTTGTTTAGTTTGGTATGTCCATTTCTCTGATATCTATTGTTTGTCTAATGCATTCTAACAGGGGTTCAAGTGTTAGTATATAAAGGATTGGAGATAGGGGGCAACCTTGTCTGTCTGATTTATTTATTCTAAAGGGTTGGGAAATATTATGGTTTATCAGTAGGTGACTATGTGCATTAAAATAGTTCATTTTTATCCATGTCGTAAAGTATTGTCCTACACTGTTTGCTTGTAAGATTTTGTGAAGGTATGTGTAAGCTAACCGGTGGAAATTTTTAAAGTCTAAACTGAGTATGCATGCTTGTGTGTTTTTCTCGTGTGTAGTGGATGATGGCTCAAATTAAGTAATTGTAATTTTGTATGTTACTACCTGTGATGTTGCATTGTTGGTCTGCATTTATTATTTTAAGCAAGTGTGGTTCAATTTTTAAAGATTAGAGCTTTTGTTAGAATTTTTTTATAATCGGTGTTTGTAAGAGAAATATGTCTATAGTCTATAGTTTTGGGTTAATTTAGGATCGGTTTTGGGTTTGCGTATTAATGTTTGGTATGATCTATTGAAATTTTCGTGGCATTGTTCTAGCAGAAACTTCTTCTTCTTCTTCTTCTTCTTCTTCTTCTTCTTCTTCTTCTTCTTCTTCTTCTCCTTCTTCTTCGTTCTTAAATGAGAATATGGTGGAGGATTTAGACAACATGTCCAACTTCCTGAATAAACCGGACTGTGGTCTCCAGATCAGCAGGTGCCCCATATAATTTTTCCCTGAGTGGGGTGAGCCGGGGCCAGTGTCTGACTCGCGCCTGGCTATATAAATGGCATTCCATTTCTCTAAAGATAGCTAAAAGAAGAGGAGGAGGGGAAGTGGGGGGGGGGGGGGTGTTAGGTCGGCTGAAAAGGCTCTATAAAATTTGCTTGTCCAAGTGAGTTGTTTGCGTGCAACTTGAGTTTTGTTTTGGCTATGTAGTCTTTCTAAAGGGAGTTTCAATGTTAATTTTGTCGCTGTCTTTAAAGGGTTTTATAAACTTAATGTATTTGTCTCGCGTAAATGTGTTTGTCACTTCGAACTTGTATAGTTGCGTATAATCTTATATGTATATAATAAACCGAGAGTAATCTCCCCTAAATTTTCTCAAATATTCTTATATAACACTACGGGGGATGGCATCTCGGTATATAGACATGATTTTTAATCAATTTTTAATTACCTAAACTTTTTTTAAAAAATTGAATAGAATCTCGTAGAAAAAGAATTGCGCACCAAGTGAACGCCAAGAAAACTTTGTATAATGGTGCGGAATATTATTAGTACTTTATAAATTCACATGCGTTTTTTTGAGAAATCGGTAATATCGTCCTTTAGGCGGAAATTACTTACATTTTTACAGAAGGCCAAAAATTCAATCTTTAACTTACATGTGGAACTCCATTTATTTATATGAAACAGTACACAAGTTATAGGCTTTTGAAAAATTTAAAGTAGAATAAGTTCCACTTCTGGTTACCGGAAATTGCTGAAAAGTGGATACAAAACTACAAATTTGATTTAATACTTATATATGAAATTTCATCAACCTAGTTTTAACGGTACTCAAGTTATTGTGTTCACACACATACACACACATACACACACACATACACTCATAGGCCCTACTCACACAGAGACATACGGACACGATTGCAAAAGTATATTTTTCCGACCCAGGGAAGTGTAAAACGTCGAGATTTTGCACGATTAGAATACTTTCTCCATAATTCGTATACGAGAAAATAAAAAGCAATGTATGTCTCTGTGTCTGTCTTTTATGCATTACTTTACCTTTCCTCAGCTCGCCATAAAACTTTGGAAAGTTGTTGTGAAAAAAATTTCAAACTCGCAGGGATGACGCCCCGGCAGGGCGCAATTTGTTTTTTTCTCTATATACAGTATATAAAAATAAAAGTATAGTGCGGTTTGACACCGTTCAACCGATCGCCGTCAAACTTTAGGGAGCTGATTAGAACACTCCAGGTGAGTCTTCTGTAAAAACTCATTTTTAAATTCGCAAAGGCGGGGCCACGGGAGGATGCAATTCTTCTCCATGTACGATAAATTTAAAAAAAAAATATTAAAAGTCAGACACGGTTCGACACTGTTTTTCAGAGTGCCATAAAACTTTAGGGAGTTAATGAATACTCCCAATGTGGTTTCTGGGGGGGGGGGGGAGGATTTAAATTTCGCACGGGCCGCTCCCGGTAGGATGCAATTTGGCGCGTTGGTCTTTCTCGCGAGTGCTTTGGCGACCACGTTCGTTCTAAACAGTGTGATAGACAATGGATATGATGGGGCGTTACAGTCGCTCACTAAATTGAATCAGGTGTGTCCCCGGCGCGATGTTAGGGTGCGATTTGGCTGCGAAAAAAAATCCAGTTTCTGCCCCCAAAGGCTAAAGGCCCTGTGATAGATTTTTAAAAATGTGTTTACTTTTAAATAAAACACTTTTAGAACATAAAATGACGCGTCTAAGAATATAGGATTGGTAACGCATGGATGAAACCCTTCTTATATATTTCGTCAGACTTTCTTCTATTCCCGCGGCAACGCGCGGGGACGAGTACGCTAGTTGTCTATAAATATTGATTGAATATTTTTCGGGACAGTTGTCTCTTGGTTATTGATGTCTATGAGATGTGTGATTTGTTTTGCCCTCTGTAAACTTTATTCTAAAATTAAGGTGTGGTGTGGGGAGTTTTCCGAGCCTTTTTTTCTTTTCTACTTCAAATTTGTGCTCCTCTATATTTGTACTCTTGTATTTTAGAACGTTCCGTCTCGATTGAGTCTATTTGTTCTTTGTTGTTGTTAATTCCTTTAAATATACTTTTTTCTAGTTTAATTTCTATGTGGGCCTAACGCTGTTAATGCTACAAGCATATTGAATAGCTATACGCTTAATGTCTTGTTTAAAATCTTCCCAATGTTGAATTTTGTTTGATTTTGGTGCTGATTCTGTGTACAATTGGATTATGTCTTGTATAGTTTTGATGTAGCGCACGTCTAGTAATAGTGTATTATTGAGTTTCCAGTATGTGTTGTGTTTTTTTTTGTGTTTGTTCTTTGTTTAAAGTTGTCAGGACTACTGCATGGTCGTTAAACTGTAGTGTTGAGAATAGGCGTTCTACTTTGTTGATTTTCATGTTCACTGGGGCGTAAATTCTGTCTAGACAAAATCTATTCCCAGATGTGTTACTTACGTGGGTGGTTTGTAAGATGTGTGTATATCGTGCTCTCTATGTGTCGACTATTTTAAAGTATGTTTTAATGTTGTTGATTAAGTAAGTGTGTGGTTTGTCTGCGGTTAAGCGGTTTCGAATGATGTTTTTTTTTGGTCTAATTAAAGTCCCCAACCAAAATAATTTTTCCAGGTTTTTATAAAATTTACTGTCTGTGGGTCTATGTCGTCCATGTACGTTGAATGGGTTTAGTTATCCCCTTGTCCCTCGATTGTAACTATTGCTAATTTTCCTTCAGAATTACTTCACTATATAAAAAAATACAACAGCGGGAATTTTTTTTTTTACTTTTTAGTACTTTGTTGAGGTATCGCGAAAAAATGATTACATAAATAGCGGGGATTGATCAACTGAAATGTGGTAGGTATCATAAATACTGCCTTTCATTTATTTTAAACACTGAACGTACTGTTTACTAATTATTATTTTTAATCAAAGACAGTTGACGTAACAAAAGACATCTTTATTCGGGAACTGGAATACCCGCTGGTTGTAAATGTGTCTTTTTTTGCGCACTTAGAGGAATTTGTTTTTGTCCGTCGCACCAAACATGATGAACGTCGTCTTTTCTTTACCTACCATAGTGCGTACGATTTTAAGCAGACATTTTAACAGTACTTTAGCAGTTCAGTTTTTACAACGTTTTCGATTGTAAAGGCAAGATCGAAAAACAATTTATTTTAAGAGCTATGTTTATGTTTTATAGCTTCAACGTTACCATAAGATGACATTGCTTTGCACTGCAAATAATTTTTAATCAATAACAGTTTGGAAAAAAAAACTCCTAAAGTCCTCTGTGTTTACTTTTTTCTTTCCGTTTGCAGATAAGCTTGGGGTATTATATTCGTTTATTAAAATGAATCAGACACGTCCTTCGGCGCCCGGTAGGGTTCGATTTGGCGCCTTGTGCTATTCTGTTAGCGCTTTGGTGCATAATTTCGTTTTTAATAGTGCGATAGACCATGGGTAAGAAAAGTTACTATATTCTTTAAGTGAATCGAATCTGGACAGGGTGCTACTTGGCGTCCCAGGCTTCTTGTGTGTGCTATGGCGCCGACGTTCGTTTAATTGAGCGCATACAACTAAGAATAAAATTGCTTACTATAGTCTTTTACTAAGCTGAAACAGTCGGTTTTGCCGGAGCTCCAGAAATGTACGATTTAGCGCCCAGGTCTGAACTATGAGCAGTAAGCTTTTATGTTTGCATTTAAGTTTGTGTTTATATTTGCGTCTATTTCCATTTTTCTGAGTTATGTTTGCGTTTAGTTTTGCGTATGTGTTTCTATTTGTATTTGTGTTTGCCTTTTTTGTTAGCGTTTGTGTTTTTTTGTGTTTGTGTTTGGCTTTGCGTTTGTGGTTTTGTTTGTGCTTTGCGTTTCTATTTGTTTTGTTTTTGTGTTTTTGTTTTCTTTATGTTTGTGTTTGCGTTGTGGTTTAGTTTGCGTTTGCGTTTTTGTTCGTGTTTTGTTTGTGTTTGTTTTTGTGTAATCTTCTTTTGTGTTATATTACTGTTTTTGTAATTTTTTTAGGTGGTTGTCGTTAGGCTTAATTCGAAAAGTAATATATTTCCTAAATCCGAAAAATG